ATGTCTGATAAGGTTTAAAGATGCACTTACCCTATGACCCAACAATTCCATTCTAAAATGTTTTCACACGCTGAAAACGTCATATACAAAGAAAATGATTGCAGTGCCTATTATAAGAAAAAAATTGGAGATAAACCCAAATGTCCTTTATTAGGAAAAAGAGTAACTTATATTTATACAGTGGATATTATACAGCATTTAAAATGAGTGAATCAAATTTATTGGGTGAAAACAGGTTGCCAAACAGTATCTACTCGTATCATGAATGCAAATTTTAAAGTGCACATCAGTGTAAAGTGTGCATTCATGTACGTACACGTGGGGCGATAAAAGTTTAAGGACCTGGATGGGGAGAATACAAAACAAGCTGACGGTGGTGAATGGAGAGAGGGAAATAGGATCGAGGAGACATTAAAGGGACCTTTGCTATGTGTGTTACATTTTCTTTGTTTAAAAAAAAAAAGGCAGATGAGGCCAGATGTTAAAAGTCAGAGTAGTGGCGCATGCATTTGTAATTTCCTATACTCTTCTGTGGTTTTGCAATATGTCCTTGAACAATAGTGCTTAGGGCATCCGTGGCATTCTCTGAGGAGGGACTATTATTGCCCATGCCCTTGACCTTTCTGCTTCCATGGTCATTGTAGACCTCTGGCTGGCTGCATGGCCAAGGGGGTAGAGGAAGGCCGAATGAGCTTTAGGACCTTGTCCACTTTGACATTAAGTAATTCCAAGATCGTCAGTAGGTGATCGATCATTGTCACGGGCACATTCCTACATGTCCACACTCTCCTCACACGGGAGCTGGCGAGTGATGACTCTGTGTGTGTCACACCCCCTCCAGTACCCACAGGCAGATGGGAAGCCTCAACGTACCAATTTTGCAGCATTTTCTGAATCTCCTTGAAAACAGCATTTTTATGTTACATGATGCCTCTGAACGAATACAATAGGTAGATGTGGGGAAGAGTTATTTTGAGGGCCATAATTTGACTCAGTTATCTCAGGCAATCAAAGATTGTTTAACACCAGAAAGAGCTGACCAGAGCAGCTGCTAAAACAGCGCTTTGTGTGGGAAATGATAAGAGGTTCAGTATTTTGATAGCCATTTCAGAGGTATGAGTATAAAACTTCTAAGAAAATCTTGATTGCTGGGTTGGTTTTTTTCTTTGGGGGGGGTGTTGGTGGGAGGATTGGATTCTCTGGCTCAGATTTCCCATCTTGCAGGATTCTGTGTGGATAGGGGCTATAGGAGGAATATTTTCCCTCTCCCAGAGTCTTGATTCTTTGCATCCATAGCGTTTAGGCAGCACAGTGATAACTTATGTAGGTTTTCAAAAACTAGGGAACTCATCCATTGATCAAACATGTGTTCAGGGCTTACTGTGCTCCAAGCAAAGGGTAGGACCTAGGAGTCAGAAAGAGTCAGCCTCCTCCATAAGAGGTCTTCTGGAAAGAGGAGGAGATGTGGAACGAGGCAAAATGTACAGGTAATTTTAAATAAATTCAATAGGTACTACAGAAGCAGAACTTGGAGGGGAGGAGGGATAGAAAGAGAGGTATTAAACAATTAGGAGTTTGTCATTTAAGGCAGTGGGAAGTGAGATAAGCACAACATTCCGAATAGAGGGAGAATTCTGCTCAGTGTTACAAAGGGAAAGGACGAGTCTGGGTTAATGTGGAAGAGTGTATTTATTGATTTGGCTGGCCAACTGCATACCTCGATTCACAGTATTACTTTCTGTCTGAATATCTAGTACCTTAAGTTTTCAAAGAATTTTCACAACAGTTTTCTAATTGTACGTGCACCTCATGTGCGTATTACAATATTATACTGTCTGTAGTTTAAAATATTTCAGCATGGACCCTATAGTAGGTATGTATGTACCTGTTCGTTTTCATCTAAATCTTAGTGGAGCTGGTGGTGCCAAGTTGTGAATGCACACTCAGCGTTGATGAGCTGGTATCTCATCAGAAGCTCTCACTTTGGGGGGGGGGGGTCCTTCCTTAAACAACTCAGTTTTCTTTGTCCCTGAGTGACACTGGAGATTTTGTTAATTAGGATAATGGGTATTGGAGGTGGATTTCACTTGGGGACCTTTGTGGTGGTCAAGATGAGTGGATCAGGTTGAACCTTTTCAGGGGCCTTCCCTCCTGTGTGTTACAGAATATACAAGTCTAGTGAGACATTAAGGATGGGGAAACTGAGGCTCAGGGAGGCTGGGTGTGAGAGTGGGGTAGTGGCAGGGCCAGGACTGAAGAATTCCAGAACTGGGACCACTTCTGTTGGCTGCTCTGCCCAGTGAGCTGTGCTTGCCCTTGAAGAACCTTTATCTGTGATGACAGTCTTTTAGAGGCTCATTAAACCATGTAGGCTAATCCTTGGCTGAATTCCCTAAGCCCAGACTGCAGTTGCGTGTTCCTTAGAACCAATGTATGTGCCATTTCCAGTATTGTGGGGGTTTCATTTCTTCTTGTGATTCAAAAAGAGTGAAGTATTACAAACACTCAGTTACGAATGATGTACTTGTATTTCTAGTTAACAGTGAAGGGAATCCAGCTTAGCTGGAGCACTCTTTTCTGCTTTTCCTGTTAATATACTCTTCCATCTGCAGATAATTGAAAAGTAATTAGAGGTCTTTGCAGTAAATCCACGCCACAGTAGAGAAAACAAAAATGCATACATGTGTGGCATTATGTGGAAATTTACCCTTTGGAAAACTACAAGCCGTAGGGATTTTAATGTATTTCATACAGGCCAGATCACACAAATGAATTAATTTCCACTTTAGTGAAAATTTGTTTTTCCTGGTGTGTTCAGGTCAGCTATGGTCACTGTGGTTTGGAGTGAACCTAAATGGGTTCCTGTCCTTGGACAAAGACCAAGGACAACTGTAGGACTTGCCCATGGTTAACTTCCCGTAGGCTTTTTGATTAATAACCCTGGTTCAGGAAGGCAAGTGCTATTATGATCACTTTGCAACTGAGCCAGTCAAAGCAACGAGAAGTTAAGTGGCATGTCCACACCACAGAACTGGTTATAACAGAGTCAGAGCCAGAACTGAGCTCGTCTGAACACTAGGTGACTCAGCGATACAGCTCTTTCTATGACCCCAGGCTGCCAGAGCAGAAGGAAGTGAATTTCATTGGTATCGTGCACATCAAGGTATTCCATGTGGTGATATGGTGGGAACCAAACCTCAAGACATTGTTCCAAGACAACATGTCAGGAGATACTAGGTGGTGACAGTTTCAGAAGAACTTACGGTTCAGATTCAGCAGAACTTCATGAAAATCCTGCTTTGAGCCAGGCACTGAGCTTCGTGGTCCCCAGTATGCTGCTTATTTTCAGCAGGAGCAGAACAAGGGAGCCTGGGGAACTTTCGCCTCCCCACGTCAGCCTCAAGCACTTATCAGTAGTATCCCAAAGCCATTTTTAATAGACATGCCGTCTAAGTAGAAGTCAAATTAAATAAAAGAGTGTCTTGGCAAGTTCCAGACTGGTTTCTTAACCTCTTATTCCACTCAGCCTGTTGCCCTTAAATCCTATTATATTCCGTCTTATTACAAGAACAATCTTGTAACTGTGATGTTGTCTTCCATTTTATCCTTGAGAAAACCGAGGCATTGAAAATAAGATGCCTTGCCCTAAGATGAAAACTATCCAGAGTTCCTAATTGGTTCTTCTGAGTCCAGATCCCACTCTGTGCTGATTTCCATCCAACTTTTGGAATAATTATGGGCATTTACTTTATGGGGATCTTTTGGATTCATCCTGTCACGTAAGGGATCTAGTTTATTTGACTTTGTGGAATTTGTGTGTCTGTGTGTCCATGTTAATTAGAATAATGAAGAAAATGTCCGGTGCCTAATCCCAGGTTGGGATAGATAAAGGAGGCACACTTTCCAGGAGGGGGGGATGTTGGAGGAATGGTGGTTATAAGATAGATTTGCACTCCTGGAAAGAGAAGACGCTGCCTCTTCTTAAGTGAGCATTGGTGCACTGAGTATTTGCATTTCTCATGAATAAATAGGTAAATTCATTTGCTGACTGTTCAGGCATCCTGGACTTGGATGACATGGGCGAGTTTCCCCCTGGGGTCTGGACAGATCAGTGAGGTTCCTGTCCCACAGAATGCCACCGTATGCTACCCCAATGCCTTTCCTGACCCTCAGCCTAGTTACTGCATCATTGAGGAGGGCAGTCATCTCCAGCCATCTCTGGTTTTAATGACTGATGTGACAAATGCTAAAGGACTCTGCCACTGAGGTGGGGAAATGCTTGTTTCACAGCCCTTGTTCACTCCTAAACAAGTGTGAAAATCACTGCTTTGCCTTCTCCCCTACTAGATTATACATACCTTAAGGACTCTGTCTTACTGTTTTGTGCCTGCCGGGTTTGCCTTGCCCACAGTAGGTACTTACTTGATGTTTGCTGAGCTAACCTATACTTTTCCAATACAAAGAAAAGTGGGACAGATTAAAATAATATGTAGGCCAGCCTGGCTCACTGACTCAGATAGACATGACTGCTTCCAGGCCTTGACAAGTTACTCAAATTAAGGATTTGTTTCTTAGGTGAAAAGGGGGAAGACATAATGCACACTGGGCATAATGTAGATAAAGCAGAGACACCAACACATAAGTGCTTAATACCCTACTTATTTTTATTTTAAATAGGCATTTGTAAGTACGGGCATTTGCCAGGGACCGAGCTCCCAGCTTTGTCAGCCTCCCATTAGTTTTGACACCAGCAGACTGCCTTCCAACTTAGGCAGTTTCTCTTGGAGGTTATTGGGAAAAGTAATGTAGAGTCAGCATCAGACTGTTTAAGATGAAGACTTTGCCAAGGTGGGGTGCAACAAGAGAGGGGCTGTCGAGAAGGGTTGTAGGGGAAGAGCATTGGGAGGTCTAACAGAAAGGGTATGTTGACACTGCCTCTGGGAATTTGGGGGAAGCACTGGGGAGACCCTTAAGCATTCTCCTCTCTTCTCCACCCTCAGGCCTTCTCGTGGGTACCCTTGATGTTGTGCTGGACTCCAGTGCCCGGGTGGCTCCTTACCGAATCCTTTACCAGACTCCAGACTCTTTGGTCTATTGGACCATCGCCTGTGGTAAGTAGCAATATTCAGAAAGTGATTAACAACTTTCTGCCAGAAGGGAAGAACCCTTTATTTGGGAATACAATCACTTGGTATTCTAGAGTAATTAAGCATAGCCACTTCAGCAGGTAAACTCCAAATCTTAATGGCTCCTTTGTCTACCCCATTCTCACTCTGGCAAAGTCTCCTTTGGATCCTGTGGCCTTCTCCAACTGTAATGACACGAAGCCTCCATGGGAGGATGACTTAGAAGGGAAAAATGGGAGATAGAGGCACACCCACATTTAACTCCCTGGGCGGGACGTGTCACACCCCACTTCCACTCACACTGTGTTGCCTAGAACCAGTCGCATGACCCCAGCTTAACTCCATGGGCAGCTGGGAAATGAAGAGGAACATGGGGACTACTTGTGTGCACTCAGCAATACATATCTGAGCACAGTACTTCCTACTTGAGTAGGGATTTTTTTTTTCCCTGATCATAATCTATAATAATGTCCTGTGTTTAAAATGGTGGTCAGCAGCCCTGCCATTATTGGATCTCTCACAAGAATTTTTAATCTAGGGGCGCCTGGGTGGTAGTTGGTTAAGTGGCTGCCTTCGGCTCAGGTCATGGGTCCTGACCTGAGCTGAAGGTCTGCCTGCTGCTCTGCCTACTTGTGCACTCTCTCTCTCTCTCTCTATCAAATAAATAAGTAAAATCTTAAAAAAAAAAGAAAATAATTTTTAATCCAAAGTGGCCAAGATTTTTTTTTTTTTAAGATTTTATTTATTTATTTGACAGAGAGAGACAGCGAGAGAGGGAACACAAGCAGGGGGGAGTAGGAGAGGGAGAAGCAGGCTTCCCACCCAGCAGAGAGCCTGATGC